ACCTCTTTCTTGTTTATTTTGTGGTTAGATTTATCTAGTTCAGACAGGGGGAGGTTGAGGTTCCCTACTAGTATAGTTTTGCTATCTGTTTCTTCCTGTATCTCCCTTCACCTTTAAGAATTTGGATGCTATACCACTTAGTGCATAGGTGTTTAGTAATAATATTACTTCATTATCTATAGTACACTGTAGCAGGATGCAGTTTCCTTCCTTATCTCCTTTAATTAGATCTATTTTTGCTTTTGCTTTGTCTGAGATCAAGATTGCTACCCCCGCTTTTTTTCTTCAGCTGAAGCATAATATATTCTGCTCCAGCCTTTTACTTTTACCTTGTGTGTGTCCCTCTGCATCAGATGTGTTTCCTGAAGACAACATATTGTAGGTTTATCATTCTTAATCCCCCTGCTATCCATTTGCATTTTATGGGAGAGTTCATCCCATTCACCTTCACAGTTATGTTTACTATCTGTGTCTTCCTCTCCATCCTATTCCCCTCCCCGCCATTGATGTTTTTTTTAACCTCATTTTTCCCTTTCCCTGCTCAGTAGTTTTATTTTCCACCACCCACCTCCCTTCTATTAGCTGCCTCCCTTTTCCCTTACCCTTTCTATTTGCTATAGGGTAAGTTAGATTTCTATACCTAACTGATTATGTTATTCCCTCTTTGACCCAAATCTGATGAGAGTAATGTTCAAACATCTCATCTCCCTCCCTTCTTTCCCTCTACTGTATTTGGTTTTTGTGCCTTTTGATGTGATGTATTTTACCCTTGTCTGCCTCCTCCTTTCTTCTTCTCCCAGGACAATCCCTTTCCACTACTTAATTAGATTTATTACTATCACATCACAGTCAACCTAAACCCACACCCTCTCTCTAAGTATACCCCCTTTTAAAAGCCATAATTACTTTACAATTCCTAAAAGTTACAAGTGCCATCTTCCCTTGTAGGGATGCAAACAATTTGTCCTTATTAATAACAATATGTTATTGTTGATGTTCCTTTCCTGTTTACCTTTTTATGCCTCTCTTGAGTCTTATATTTGAAGGCCAAATTTTCTGTTGAGCTCTAGTCTTTTCATCAGGAAGGCTTGGAAGTCCCCTATTTAGTTGAATGTCCATCTCCTCCCCAGAAAGATTATGCTCATTTTCAGTAGGTAATTGATCCTTGGTTGTAATCCATGCTCCTTTGCCTTATGGAATATTGTATTCCATGTCCTCCAGTCTTTTAATACAGAAGCTGCAAGGTCCTGCATAATCCTGATTGTGGTTCCATAATATTTAAATCGTTTCTTTCTGGCTGTGTGTAGTATTGTCTCTTTGATCTAGTAGTTTTTGAATTTAGCTACTATATTCCTTGGCTTTTTCAATTTGGGATCTCTTTCAGGAGGTGATCAGTGGATTCTTTCTATGGCTATTTTACCCTCTGGTTCTAGGACCATAGGGCTGTTTTCTTTGATGATTTTCTGAAGGATGATATCCAGACTCTTTTTTTCATCATGATTTTCAGGTAGACCAATAATTAAATTGTCTCTCCTGGATCTATTTCCCAAGTCAGTTGCTTTACCAGTGTTTTCTTGTATTTTTCATTCTTTTGTTTCTGTTTGACTTATTCTTGCTCACTCATAGTCATTAGCTTTCACTTGCCCCATTCTAATTTTTTTTATTATTATTTTTAGGCAATTGTGGTTAAGTGACTTGCCCAGGGTCACACGGCTAGCAAGTGTCAAGTGTTTGGTCTGAGGCTGGATTGGACTCAGGTCCTCCTGACTTCAGGGCCAGTGCTCTGTCCACTGTGTCACCTAGCTGCCCCACCGCATTCTAATTTTTAAGGATTGTTTTCTTCTATTAGATTTTGTATCTCCTTTTCTATTTGGCCCATTTTATTTTTTAAGGAATTCTCCTTAGTGAGCTTTTGTGTCTCCTTTTCTGTTTGGCCAATTCTACTTTTTATGGACTTGTTTTCTGCAGTTAATTTTTGTCCTTCCTTTTCCCAGCTATTGACTTTCTCTTGTATACCTCTTATTTCTTTTCCCAATTTTTCTTCTACCTCTCTTATTTGACTTTTAAAATCCTTCTTGAGCTCTTCCAAGAAGGCTTTTTGGGCTTGAGACCAGTTCATATTCCCTTTTCACGTTTCTTATGTGGTTATATTAACAATGTTGTCCTCTTCTGAATTTGTGCCTTTATCTTCCCTTTCCCCAAAATAAGAATCTATGGTTATTGTCCATTTCTGCTTTTTTGTTCATGGTGTTTGCCTGTCTTCTGACTTTAAAAAAAGTGTTGAGTTCTCCTGCTGGAGTGAAGGGGGCATTTACCTAAGCTTCTTTTCTTGCTCACCTGGGACTTGCACTTGAATGTTTGGCTCCTGGTCACCTGGGTCTTGCACAAGGATGTTTCAGTGCTGGTGGATTTCTATCAGCCTGGAGTTTTGCCTTCTGGAATTGTGCTTCCCAGAGTTGTGTTGAGGCACCAGGTGATTTCACTGCTGGGGAATACCATCACCCGTGGTTATTTTGCAAGGTGGTGTCTACCAGGTCCCTTTCCTGTGTTGAGGCTTTTGGGGTCCTGGTGTTGGCACTTGCCTACTCCACCAACCTGGGTCTCAGGATCTGCCCTTGGTATGCTGAGGTGGGGTTTGCTGCTGGCTTGCTGGGACATCTCCAATATTGTACTACTTCCCTTCTCCCAGAGTGAAAGGGGCCTTTCCCCTTAATACCCCAAGCTTCGTGGACTATAAGACTGCTGTGCCCTGTATTTTTGCTAGCTCAGGGTTTTTCTGGGTCGATATTTTCTGGGCTTTCAGAGGTCAATTAGGAAGGGTGAGAGGGCCTTACTTCTTACTTCATCATCTTGGCTTCTGGAATCGGATCTCTAAGGTATGGTCTTTAAGAAAGAAATCTAGCCCATAAACTCCAAGATATCTTGCTAGGTTTCAGCCATCAAAATTTACATTCCTTTGGGCAAAGCACCCATAGGGAAGGGAAGGGAAGGGATGGGAACAGAAGAGAATGGAAGGGAAGGGAAGGGGAGGAGAGAAGGGGAGGGGAAGGGGAGAGAAGGAAGGAAGGAAGGAAGGAAGGAAGGAAGGAAGGAAGGAAGGAAGGAAGGAAGGAAGGAAGGAAGGAAGGAAGGAAGGAAGGAAGGAAGGAAGGAAGGAAGTTGGGTTCCCAGTGGGGGAGCTCAAACTATTCACAGGTTATTGTTTGTCCTTCATTCTTGAAGAGGACCATGACATTAGGAAGGTGACATTATGACTTGCAAGTACATTGGATTTAAGTGAGGCAGAGCTGTGCAAAGTCACCAGCCTCATTTCTCCTCTGGAGCCATTTGGGTCCAATTGCAAGATATAGATCAGGTTGACTGGAGATGGCCCCCAAAGTACCAGGACTAGGGTCAGGAAAACCCAAGTTCAAATTTGACCTTAGATATGTACTTGGCTGTGTGACCCTGAATAAGTCACTTAAACTTGCTTTCCCTGAGTTTCCTCATCTATAAAACGAGGAGAATAATAGCACCTGCTATTACTGTAATATTGTAATGATCAAATGAGATAGTAATTTTAAAGTGCTTAGCACAATGCCTGGCACACCGTAAGTGCTATATAAATGTTAGTTATTATTATTATTATTTATTGTTATTATTACCTTACCTATAAAAATATAACATGTGATCCTGTATCTATTCCAAGTACACTGGGATGGCAGATCCATGGCCAAGACCTGGATGAAGGAGTTCAGTTAAGCAGGAAAGTAAAACTAAGAAAGATGTGTACACCATTGGTCTGGCTCTTTCCTGCAGTGTTCATATACGAATGCAAGGACTAAGTCCTTGATAGGGAGAGAGGCTTCACTCTCTATCTCCCCACTAAGTCCAAGAGTGTGGCCTTCCTGTTGTTTCTATGGCTGGTGTTTCTAGTCTTTCCTCTTTTAGGTGAAGGAGACTGAAGGTAGGTATGACCTTGTGAGCCTTGAAAGGCCAGAATGTGGTAAGTCAGGGAGCTGGAATTCATGCCAGAATTTGCCAGAAGTTAGATGGCAAGGAGCAAAGTCTGGAACAATTTCTTTGATTCCATCCAGCCCTCAGTGTCAGAGATGCAGACTTATGGGCTATGCCTCATTTGGACAGGAATTTGGCAGGGGGCAAATGCTGTGTACAAAGAGCATTAAGGGTGAGCTGTCTCCTCAGAGACCAAGGTAGCATAGGGGAGATTATTCCCTTTAGGTATTGAGGAAATGTATTTATACTTTTGTCCTAGCTATATCTTTGAAGTAAATATTCCCTTGCATTATTTTTTTAAGTAACAAATTATATGGAAGACCAGATGTTTGTGACTTTACAGCCTCTTCCTTAAGTTTCTATTAACCCCTGTATGATACCTTCCCAATGCTTGTTAGGTTGGGTTTTTTTTAATTCTTTTAAAGAATTAAAGAAGAGTTCTGTGATTCTAGAAAACCTTTTTTTTTCATCTGTCCACAGGAAAGTAGATGAGTAAAACTCAAGGGTGGTGAGAACATGAATGGAGAAGCCAAAAAACCGAGTTGCAGAAGTTCCAGTGGAAGAAAAGCAGATGCCAATAATTCCCCATAAAGATGATAAAATCCTGTAAGGCAGGGATTATGTCTTAAATTGCTGTGGTCCCACCTTCCAATGTCCAGAATAGGATGCAGAGGTGTTCAATAAACATTTACTTTATGGAGAAATGCATCACTTTTAATTCCTACCACTGAAGAGAAAGAATTAGGCAGGATCATTATCCACACATTCATGAATAGCATCCTCTGATATTCTTTGTTTTGTTAAAATTTGTTTTGCATTGAATAGGGTGCCATGACAATGGGATAATGACCCATGAGCTCCTGAATCAGAAGCAGTTGTTCTTGTAATATACAGAGGAACTGGAGTTTTTCCTCTGTGTCGACACCAGTTGTTTCATTTATTCATAATTGTCCAGAACAAGGAAATTCTTACTTGTTTACGAAAGCCCTCATGTCTACTCAGTCCATTCACTAAGCTTTGCCATTGGTTAAAGTTGATACCTTTAGACTTGTTAAACAAGTTATGTTTTAATTGACTAAGATTTCCTCCTTTATCCCCAGCCAGCACATAGATCACAATTAATACAAGAGATGACATTCGTTTGAAGAGAAATCTCAGAGCACTGGGTAGACTGAAGAAAGAATCTTCTTTTCATTCAGAAAAAAAGAATGTATAGGTAAGTTGAGTTCTACCTTCCAAACTTGGGGTGCTTTGCTTTCAAAAATACTGTGTACAAAATAGGAATATGCTTAAGAATTTTAGGCTTGTCTGCAAGATGCAAAAAATATATATAATTTTGTTAATTTTATGCACAAATCATCCACATTGGTTGTTTGATATTGTATAGACCTGGGTAACTGCATGAGGGTTTTCTTTTAAATTTTACCAACATTAAATGGATGAATCTGGCCACATATTTTGTCATTTTGGAGATAAAATTCTAAATAAAGAGGTGTTTTTCAAATGCCTGTTTCACACACATACCTATTTTCTCCAAAAATCCAAATTCTTGAGTATCCAAATCAATGAGTTTGGAAAAAAAATGTTGTGTGTTTAAAATGTCAGATTTGGATTTTAGCAGCTAGCATCCTACTATCATTAGATTTTTACAAAATAACATTGTTGAACTTTACTCGTGATATCTACACACAAAAAAAGCACTCCTCTTTAACTCAAAGCAGGGCATTTATAATGAAATCATTTCTCATATCATTAGAAAAATCCATGAAGAGATTAAAATATAGGTACTTCATTCTAAAGTCTATATCTAGCAATGTACAAATGTACACTATGTACAAATCCTTGTACACAGGAGATGCTTAATCATTTTTTGTTAAATTGAATTTAATTCATAAGGAAATATCCAAGTACATACAACATTTTTTGCTTTAAAAAAAACAGCTTGAATTCAGAATAAGAATTTGTCACTTTTTCATGAAACCTCCTCAAAATGCATAAAGAACTGTATGGAAAGTATTGGAAAATATAAAACATCAATTTGATATCATATAGGGAATGTTTGAGTATGTAAATCCAAGGGTACAAGCCATTATTTGTTTTTCTTTTGGATCAAGTCAATTGTCTAATAGGGATGTTATGTTTAGCAAATGCTCTGCTAGTACATTTGTAGGTACATTTAATCAGCTTCATTGCAAAAGAATCTTGCTGAGCAAAATCATTTTACATTGCTACTTTTATTTGGATTAACTCAGTGACTGAATGCTTCATTTGCAGCACATGAAAAAAATAGATACACATTTTGATTATATTTAGAGAAGAGGATAAGCCACTGACATTTCCCAAAAATGGTGCTTATCTTCCCATCTCAGATTAGACCTAAACATTTCCCCGTCCTTTCACCCTTTCTATTTCTTTCTGTAGGGTCCAAATGATTTAAGACATTCCAAAAGGCCCCAGTTACTACTATTTACACAATACCCAGGGACATCCATGGGCTCTGTACTCTTACTTGAGCAGCTTGAGTTAGGGAAAGGGAACAGGATATTCTCCTACTTGCTGTGGTTCAGAATCTAGTTTGAGGAAAGTTTCAAAGTAACTAAGCAAAAGCTATTTTATATGTCAGACATAGACAAGTCTTGACAAGGCTGAGCATAATATTGTTGTCTTTCCATGTTCCTCTTCTCTATATACATGCACAGTATTTATGAATAAAGTCAACTATGAACTCAAAACAATGAGACATCCTGCCATCCAATGTCACAAACAAGAGGAAACCAAAGTGTATAGGAGAGTAAAAATGAGTCATAACCTTAAAGAAAAATCCACTCTGAGTTTCTACTTACTCATTCAAAGCCTGAGTTTCTGAATTTTTCACTTTTAAAAGCTGTGCACTGAAACCCCAATCAACAAATAGGTGTTTCTTTTGCCCATAAAAAATAAGCAGATAGGAATCTTTGGATCGATACAAAAAATCTAGAACCATAAGATCTCATATACTAGTGGTGCACACTATAAAGCTTTGGGATTCACATTTCCACACAACCTTCTCTGTCCCTCCACCTCTTTTTTACTCTCCTCAATAAAAATACACCTCTACTCCTGTTGAGTTCCTTATAACTGGGGGTGAATTGGGAAGGGTTAGGCTACATTATTTGGAGGAGAAAGAGCAGCTGCCAAAAATAGTCAGGTGACAGCCTCATTAATCAAATGGTTCCCAACCTTTCTTAGGTAGGAGGACCACTACCACCACATGCTGGTACTTGTACTATGTAGGGGAGTAGGGCCTGTGTCTGGTATAAGAAATTACAGGACAAACATCTTCTATCTATATACATGGGCAATTCATCTGTAATTTATAGTTCCAGAAAGTTCTCTGGGATACTGAAAGGCTAAGTAACCTGTCCAAAGGGGTAAAGCCAACAGTCCTGGCAGATCTTTGCTGTGCCCAGCTGTCCTAAATACTTTAATTCTAGGTTTAATAGGTCCAGTCTTTTATCCCTGGGTATTTGTACTTGATTTGGTGTTCATATAAAGCCAGACTAATTCTCAGACACCCTATTACCTCCTCTCTCTGAAGCTCTTTCTTATAGCCAGCTGTTACTAATCACAGGATATTGATATATTAGCAAAAAAAAAAGACATTTAAGATACAAAAACAGAATGAATACTAGGAAAATTAAAATAAATCGGAAACATCATTACATTTTCCTCAAATGGCTCCTCCCAAGTTGCAGTTTCTTAACTCAATTCCTTTCCACTACTGTCTTATCTTTGCACAAGGGAAGAGAAACAGTTATTTTTTCAGGAAGATTTACTGTCTCCCAAGTAGTCCTTGTGCTTTCCAACAAAGTAGGAGAGCAAGACTGGATTGGAGGAATTACGAGACTAGCATGGGCTCTAGACAGTACTCACCTTTTCGTCTTTAGTGTAGGGGTTTCCAGCTACAATTTCACCTTCCACCAGAAGCCTTCCTCAATCTTCTTAATTCGAGTGCCTTTCCCTCTGTTAATTATTTCCTATTTATCCTGCATATTGCTTATTTGCATATATGTATTTGCTTGTTGTTTTCTCACATTAGATTGTGAGCTCTTTGAAGGCAGGAACGGTCTTTTGTCTCTTTTTGTTCCCCAGTGCTTAGGACAGTGCTTGGCCAACAATAAATGCTTATTGACTGACAGATTAACCTCCTCGGATTTATAGTTTGGGACATTCTCCAATAAACTGAAATCTCTGATCCCCAAATATTGGTGGGAATATAGTCTATACTGAAGAAAACATGGAGGTTTTCTGCCTAACCCAGGCAGAAGTTCCTTATATATAATTTAGGGTTAACTAGCTGCTTCACAAACTCCTATTCTGTAGCCTTACAGAGGAGATGATGGTTCTTGAAGGCCATGACAGAAGAGCCCAAGTTGTAGTAGATTCTACCATGCTAGGAAAGATCCAAGTACTGTCCTAAAAGCAAGCTATAATTGAAACATCAGAGGCAGAAACTGTGTCAACATAAAGAAAAAAAATTCTAACAATTAGAGCTAGCTATCCACAAGTGAGATTAGCTGTCTTAGGAGATAGTGAGTTCCTGATCACTGGAGACATGATGCTCAACTTTCAGGGATGTAGAACATAGGATCTATGCTCAAGGAAGATTAGACTAGCTGACCTCTAAGACTCTGTGATTGTATGAAATGAGAAAGCCAAGTTAAATTATTTCTCTAATTCCCTCTAACCCTAAAATGCATGGGAAGATGGTAAATCTTTTTTTCTCACATGAATACCAAAAACATACAGAGAAGGCTTAAATGCATGAGAAGCCCAAGCATCACAGCCTTGAGTACACTCACCAGAGCTGACTCTGTACCACCTCTCATGACCTTACTATGAGGGAGGATTCTTCAGGGAAGGACTGGCTTGAAATAGCCCTAGGACAAAATAGCAGCAACAAGCCAATGTATCCATCTCTGCAAGAGCACAATGGCACAACCTATCCATGTCAGGGTGGCGGGAGGGAGTAAGAGAGTGGAGATAGGCTGTCAGCTTTAAGCATTTGGAGACCTTTCACAGAGATAAGTGCTTAAACTTGTTTTGCTTAGCCCTAGAAAGTAGGAACACCAGAGTCACAGTAAAAAGGCAAATTTATGCTTGATGCAAGGAATGATTTGGTAACAAGCAATCCAAAAGTAGAATAGACGAGTCCAGGAGTTAGGGTGTTCCCTTTCACTCAAGGTCTCCAGGCAAAAGCTTGGGTGGCCATTTGGGTATGCTAAATGTAGGCTACGCTAGTTCATCCCTGTTGTCCCATCCAACATTATTCTATGATTATGTGATTCTGTGTGATCATGTGACAACTGATTCAAGGAGCCACACAGGCGGGTCCCAAAATGTCTTTCCATCAGATGACCCCTACACTATAACTAACTTGAAGCATTCCATGAACGTGCTTTGCCTTTTTTTTTTCTTTTGGCTTCTGAGCAGCCTCATTTTCGCTTATGTTGTTTCCTCCACCTGAAATGCCCATCCCCTCTGTCTAGCCATTCTCCAAGGTTTGTACAAATGCCATTTCCTCACTCATCCCAGCCAAAAAGCATCCTTCCTCATCTGAACTCGTACCTCATTGTGCTTGTTCTATATACACACCACTTAGTGCTTTCTTTGTGGATTTCCATACAGATCTCTTCTCTTCTGTTTTCTCCTTTAGGGCAGAGACTGTGGCATTATTTTTATATATTGCATAGAAAATAGTAAGGTGCCATGAAAAATAGAAAGTACTCAGTAAATATTGGTTGAATGAATGCAAACCTCCCTCCAAAAATGAGGTTAGTCTAGAATGCCTTTGACTCCAAAAGCATACCAATAAAAGAAAAACCACAGGGACAGTTAAACTTAATTAATTTAGGATTATTCAGGAGAAAGGTAGAAGAAATGACAATCTAACAGTTGAAAAATCTGAAGTATGGGAAATAGTTTAATAGTTTTGTTTCTTTCAAGACTAGTACGGAATATAATATTTTAAATGGGTACTAATAAGTAATATAAAATAAGTGAACATGAGGGGCAGGTAGGTGGTGCAGTGGATAGAGCACCGGCCCTGAAGTCAGGAGGACCTGCATTCAAATCTGGCCTCAGATCAAATACTTGACACTTACTAGCTGTGTGACCCTGGGCAAGTCACTTAACCCCAATTGCCTAAAAGCAAAAAAAAAAAAGTGAACATGAAAT